AGATGTAATTAACTATAGGGGCTTACCTCTATAGGGAACCTGAAACCCAGATAAAATAATTTTTATCTAATTTTTTTTATGTTAGGTGGGGGAACTTGCTGATCTTTCTATAAAATATTTCGTTGATCAAAACGGATGTCACAAATTCTTTAGTCTAGGTGATTTAATCTCTATTATAAAGGATATTATTTCTTCGGGATAAGTGTATTACTTGTAGTATTGTATTCAATCATCTAAACTTTTTAAAATGTGAGACCCGTTTGGTCTCACCTATTTTAAAATTATCAATTTTTCAAATCAAAAGGGTTATATTCATATTTAAATTATTTTCAAAATCACAAAATCATCACTTTTTCAAATCATGAAGTTAAAAAAAAAAGTGGGTGGAGTTTACGATCAAATTTTATAAATGTTTGTTTATAATATTCAACACAAAACTTAAACATCCAAATACATGACTCTAAATAGAATCTTCATTGCTTGAGTTCATTTTGCTGAAACCTTGGGTCACTAGATCTTGAACCAATAACATGTCAAGATCCATTCCAACTCTCAACCTTGTAACACTTAATTCAAAGTAACTTCAATCAAATGTTTATGATCATCGACATGAGCTCAGAAAATCATAATTTGATAAACGAAGCATAATCTTTTCGTTGCTTAGTCTAAAGACCCAAAAATAAATTAAATTTTCCCATCATTCTTATCTTAAATTCAAGACTCATCATCTTTGCAAACTCATAGCACATAGATTCACAGGTACTCCCACGGTCATAAACACAAAACTTGGCTATAATCACGTTAGTTCTTATTTTCTTGATAAATATGTTTATCTACTCTATTCTTAATGAAATTCCTCTGGAAAAAAAATAACTTATCATACCAAGTTTTGGGAGTGCATTTTAAATTATACAAACATTCTTCAATTTACAAACAAAAACAAGTTGTTCGATATCTTCAAACGTAGGAGGTTGCTCTACAAATGTTAAACTCAAAATTCATTTGAAAGAGCATAGGAGCAACCTAGCAGCCTCTAATCCTTCTATTGGTAATTTAAGCACTCTACTTAACTATATCTTTAGTAACTAATAAAAAATTATTTCAAATAATACAACCTAATACCAATTTAGTTACAGTAGCACTATGATCAATAGTTCTTCAGGCTAATTACTTAATATTATTCCTAGTGATTTAATTCACAAAAAATATTCATGATATATAAGCCCATCTAAAAATGCACAAGGCATCCATTTGAGAGAGCTTAAAGTCCTAAAAGCATGCAGATGCAAGGAGCAACCTAATAACTAAGCTTGCTATTGATGCAAAAAATTTCACAAAGTTTATGCCTTCTACTTGATTATGTCCTTCGGAGCTAATCTAAAAGCATGCAGATGCAAGGAGCAAACTAATAAACTTAAGCTTTCCATTGATGCATAAAATTTCACAAAGTTTATGCCTTCTACTTGATTAAGTCCTTTATAGCTAATCTAAAATTGTTTCAATAATACAACTTAAATCAATAAACTTAATCCTAAATATCCATTTTGTTTCAATAACACTATGCTCAGCGAGTCTTGGAACTAACTCTAAAATTGAAATTAATCTGCATTGCATGAATCAAAAAATCATCCTTTAGAGCTTCATCAGTACTATAGATTTTATCCTAACAATTACAAATGCAAAATGATGCATCTTAGTTTTAAGATTATTTCTAACTCTATTACCCTGATACGGATCATCTATAAAATCATTAGAATGAAGACTAGAATACTTCCTTTCCTTGGGCAATTCAAATTGAATTTCTTTCCTCTCATCAAATTGATCTTCAAGATTTATCTTTCTAATTCTATCCATGTCATCAAATAAACATCATTCGTGATTGATTTAATTTTTTATTCGACAAAAGAATGAAATTATTCTTCCACATCTATGTTTCTCCCATTGAAAACTCTAGGAGCTTCACCATATAATGAGCATCCAAGGGAAGTAGCAACGTCCCAATTTTTGATACAAAGTATCAACACCAAAATCAATTCTCACAACATGGCTGCATCAGAATTATGTATTACTGAAATTAAAACACAAACTAAATAAAAATCATCATAACTACTACAATCTAATGAAATTCATTTTATTCAAATAACTTTGCTTAACATATGCAACTTGAATTTTTAATGATGATAAACTTAAACATTTGCAGCACAATACTGCAAAGAGTGGAAGAACACCCACCCTCCTAAGTCTCCATGAATACTGTTTACGGACTTACGATAATAAATATGGGTAAAATGAAACAAAATGGAGCAAAAACACGTCTAATTCCCTCCATCATAACTCCAGCTTTATCAGAGATGGAGATGAATAGAAACATTGAAGCCTATTTCAACTACCGTCATATAAAACATTCATCATCTATCCTTCTTTTTTTCTTTATCTGGGCTCTCTTGTTATACCATTTCTCCATCTCTCTCTACCTCTGTGGCTTTTTATAGACCTTCTGCTGAAATTAAAAGAAAACAATGCTAGAAAAAAATCTAATTTGCCAAAATATCGTACTGGCTCAGGCACAAGAGTTCCCAATTAAACAACTAGGACCGAGATTCATGCTGGCGAGGTAATCTTACAAACAGTAAATAAACTTACAGCAACAATAGCAAGTTGCTTTGCATCAAAATCAGCTTCAGACAACCTGCAAGACAAGGGCAATACATATTCAGTTAAGAAAAAGAGCATTAGGACAGAAGTATTGCAGTTCATGCAAGTTTATCAAACCCGAAAACTAAGGAACTAACCCATATATATGGAGATATGAAGTATCTGTTAAAACTTCCTTCTCATAGAGTTGTATACAAATTTCAGAGCTGCGCTTGTAAACCTGAAATTAACAGAGTAAAAAACTAACAATCCTAGAAAGCAAGAATTAATTGAGGAAAATCATAACATTTCATAATTTATTTTATCTTATTACTTCTAATCATAGATCTGCACCTCTAAAAGAAGATCATTTTCATCAGAGGATAATGAAAGCAACCTGCTTCTCATCAAATCATAGATGTGCAGTAGATAATGTGTATCTTCTCGGGCATACCTGTTAAAAAGATATAATTACAGTCAAGCACAAGTAATGGTAATTAAATATGAATTAAAGTTCGCTAATTGGTACAACATTACTTGATCATTTCATCAGGTAAAGGCCTTAGTCTCCAATCTGCATTTTGATATCTGCAAAATCATAAGGAAAGTCTCAAAATAAAGATTTTTTTTTCCTAATGAAGAAAACTGTGTTTCCTTTTTCATCACACTCCAAAACAACCAAAATTTTCAACAATCGCAAAAGCATGAATAGAAAAATAAAATTTATTTTTTCAAGAAAAAGTAATTACTCTTTATTAGCTTCAACATCACAAAAGTGGCGTAAAAGGTACTCAAGGCTATTTCTTTCCAGCTGCAGTAACCTTGAAGCCTGCAAAACAAAGAATTTAGTGACAGAGCTGAGTATGACGGTTTACAAATGTTGCACATACTACCAAAAAAAGCTGCACAAAATAACTACCTAAACAAACACTTGGAACAAAAAGTACAATTACGAAAAACTTGCAAAACACATGTTTGAAGGCATACAACAAAACAGGGCAAATAATTGAAGTTGTTGAAGTACAAAATCAAAACATTAAATAGAACAATTGGCCATCAATCTCATTAATGACCCCAAATAGCCAATAAGAGAAAACCATATTGAGCAACATGTATCAGGGTGTTGCAGCGTCAACAAGCTAAATATTTATTTTTCACTGGGTTGTACATGGATTAGCTAATACCAGGAAAACAATAAAGAAGACCGGGTTGATTATGTCCCTGTTCCCGAAAAAAAAGATCTAATATAATGTGTCTGACAGTTCAAAGATTGAAAAAGAAGCAACGCAAAAATAATTAATATCCATGTCCCAACAATAGAAAAAACCGCTCATTTGCTTTTATAGGGACTCAGAGAACTCGAGAGGGAGAAAGTTCCAACACTCTATCTCATAATTATATAAGAGGTTGAACAATGACGCAGAGCAGGTACACTCTCAAGTCTCAACAAAAATTTATCAAAAATAATATTTTAAAAAATTAACATACAAGCTCAAAATGGAAAAAAATTATTCACTCACTTCAAAGAGAGTGTAGAAAAATCAATTTGTCACAAATCCACTTCCATTAATTATGCCCATATCAACTTACCATCTAGCCCAACTGTCCACATTTATTCACTCCATGCTACCCAGGTGATCTGTAGAATTGCTACTAATATATCATCGATCCGTAGAACATTGAAATTATTATTCTGCTTAATAATCAGTCATTGGACTATTGTAATTATTCTTTCGTGATATTGTATTTCCTATTATAAGCTCTCCAAGGATTGTATAAATACTACATAAATATCACAATAAAACAATAAATAAATTATCTCCAATTCTTGACAAATACCACTTGTCAATTCAAATTCTTGTGCTATAAAAATGGAATATTAATAAGCAGCTCAATGGATGCATGTAAATAAATCTCTAACTACTTACGCTCTCTTTTTTTTATTAACACATTTCTTTTATCGTCATAAGAATTTTTGCCTATGATACAGCACAAAAAATGAGGTGTCAAACACAACTACAACCGTCCAAAATAGCTGCATAAAAAGCTAGGCAGGAGGCCACCGAAATAAAGAAAACTGATTCTACACAAGCATCAAATGGGTAACCATCCAAATATTGAAGTCACTATAATTTCATAGGACCTGTAATTTTTCAAAATGCTGGAATTATTTTAGAACAACAGTGACAGGAAAAAAATATGGCAGATAAAATAGTAAGTGACACCAAAGTCAAAAAAGTAGTACAGCAAATAGATTCCTGCCATACTAAAGTTGCACATACAATGTCATTGTAACATTGAAATAGAACAAACATCTCAAAAACCTCAAATTAATATAAAAAGAAGGCAATGATGAGATGATGAACAATAAGTACGTGTGGCTGTGTGTACTCATATTTAAGCCTATGACTGTCACTAGCAGCATTTTTAAACGTTCAGCATATGATATAAAAGAATAAGAAGTATTTCTCTAGATATATACAAAAGTCTTATTATAAGGATTGCATATCAGGTTTGCAATTCAGATTTGGACATAAGAATTACCCGATGCCACCCAAAACCAGTCCACTAATAAAAGGGTCAAAAATCTCAACAAAGCCTGAATAAACCCTAAAGTTAAGTAGTGATAGCTTAATGCCAACCTAACCCAAAATGAACACAACTACCTCATTTCCACATGAGAACACAATTAAAAAAATGATAAATTTTATTAACATGACTTTTTATTTATACAAGTATAAAATAATTAAATCATTATTTTTTTGGTTGACCCATACTCAACTCATATTTTTCTGAAGTCACTTAGGCTTGACCAACATATTGCATGGGTTGGCCCTCACAAGAACTTTTTTTTTCATGTTAGTTTCAAGCCAAATTTTTGGGTCAGGTCAAATATTGACACCTTTGATTTATTGATTCAATTCTTCAAGGAATCTAGAGTACAAATCAAGTATAAATATAGAAGAGATGATCCATAATTTTTCTATGAACAGAAAAAATACTTTCCGGAACAAAAATAAAAGGAGAAAATAATGATACATTATTTGAATATTTGAAGTTAGATTTTACTCTATTTAATCATACAGAAGAAACAACGCCATTGACTAATGAGATGGATGAAGCAATCTTAGAAACCTTCTGGAAAAATGCAGAGAAACAGCAAAATCCAAGGACTCCAGGATTTGTGAACATAAACAACAAAAAATACTCTCCCTCATGTTGGGTAGTAGATAACCATCATACCAAAGTTAAGAGTTCAATATGACCTTAACGAGAATATCAGTTATTTGAAGATTTGAATGTGTAAATAAGTAGGATGGAACTATCATCAAAATATTCCTCGGTAAAATAGCAATAAACCACTAATGGTTTGATACAATTACTCAGGATCAAGTTTTTTATATAAAAATGATGGAAATATTATTATCATTAGACTATTTTGATATTAACTTCAATTTTTGTAGCATTATCTGCAATCAAATCTCTTCACAGATCTCGTGCGGCATATCTCTAGATTTTACTTTAGCACTTCTTCATATCACAATAGTTTGTTCTTTACTTCTCCATGTGATTATGCTTCCCCAAATATGTGCAATATCTAATAGTTGATCTCCTATCAGTAATAAAACTTGCTCAATCCTCATCAACTAACACTTCCACATTTATGTGAAGAGATTTCCTAAAATATAGTCATTTGCTAGGATCCTTCTTCAAATATTGAAGGATCCAAAAAACAGCCACATCTGTGCCCTTGGAATTAATCTTGTATGTTGGTCGAGTTAACTGAGAACTAAATCTACTTCAACATGTCTATAATATCTTTCTTTTCTCATCAGGACATATATCCTCGAAAACCATCATAACAATTAAATCCATATTGTGTTCATTGGTTTATGTCCCAATAGCTCAATTTTTCTAGGATCAAGAACATACTTCAACTAGGATACATAGATGAAATCCTTAATAAGGAAATATTTATACCAAGAAAATATAAAAGTTTCCCTAGTCTTTATCATCAAATTCTTTCACCAAAAAATTATTCAAATTGATTATTTCTCCATCATTGTATTCAAAGAATAATGTCATCAACATAAGCAGTCAATAAAGCAATCTTGCAATTGACATTTATTTTATGAACATGGAGCAATAAGTTTAGCATCACGAGAAACCATGCATCTTAGCAAACCTTAAAAATCAACTAAGGGTGCGTTTGGGGGAGCTTATTCATAGCGGTGGTGTTTCAAAAATGCCACCTGACTGTTTGAATAATGCTTTTTACAGACGTTTTAAAAACACCGTTGGCAGATTTGTATTAAACGAGAATCGCGGGTAGGGCGTTTCGTTCATGCGAAAGACATTTGTGGCCCTCGCTCTCTCTGCCCAGCGAATCACTCGTTCGCCTTCTCCTCCTCTCAACCCCCTCGCATCTCCTCTGCCTTCATTGCGTTTGCTTGCAAGCTAGGGTTTCGATTGTAGCTGGTTAGATTTGATTGATGGATCGATTATTTGTTGCGTTATTGTGGTATGTGGCAGATCGATGTTTCGGTGGATGTGGAGTATGTGCCGGAGAAGGTAGTTGTGGATGATACGTTGCTTGACGAGTTTAAAAGCGTGTTTGAGAAGTTCAGTTTTAGGGATTCGGCTGCTGGCGAGGTAGGAAATGGTTATATTATTGTTTGATTGGAAAGCCTTTAGTCTAATTCTGATTTATTGTGTTGCAGAACAATGAGAAGAGGGATGAATTAGCTGTGAATGCTGAGGCTAAGAAAAAGTACTATGATTCTGAGGATGAGCCGGATAGTCTACTGAAGGAGAAAGGGATCTCGAATGAGAAGAAAAAGGTTTTATCCTGTACTTAGATCATTGTTGTTGTTTGCTTTTCTTGATTTTTCTTGGCTTAAATTTAAACTTTTTTTTCTTATGTAGCTTCAAAAGAGGATGAAAATTGCCGACCTGAAGCAGATATGCACTAGGCCTGACGTTCTTGAGGTACTGTTACGTGCCACACCTCATATATATTGTATTTTTTGGTTAATGCTTTGTTTAACCATTCATATTGCATATAATTTCAATTGTTTATCTTATCTGTGCTTTATCTAGCTCATTTGAACTGACCATAGTGACATTTTGAATTGATGAAATCCACCAGCTTAAGGCATGTAGAGTTATTTTTAACAAAACTTGTTTGTTTTATTCTTTAAATATTTTATGTTGAATAGCTTGTTGAATACGTAGAGTGCAGTATCTTGGCTTGTTATAACCTTGAGTAAACAACTATGCACTGAAACTGAGCATCTCTATGATTTCAAAGAGAGTTTACCCGATCTAATTTTATATGATTGTGATTATTTTGGTTGATCATAAGGAAATTTCTTCTTTGTTCAAGGTAGGACATGATGGATACGTCCATTGTTGTGTCGTGGGCCTATTAGCAAGTGTTGTATGCTTAAATTTTTTAATATATTATTTGATGGTCAAACTTAAATATTTATCTATCGGTATTTTGTGCTAATTGTCTAATAAAGTAAGGGTTATAAGAAGTTTTTCACTTCAGTTCCTTCAGCTCCTGTATATTTTCTTCTGTTTGAGTTTATTTATTTTTTCTTAAATTTCATTCAATTTATATTAAAATTATCGCAAAATCTAAATTACTTTATTACAATTTATGTTACACAATTTAAAATAATTTTTTTCAAAAATAAATTTTATAATGCGTAAACGGTCTTTTATCAAACAAAAATCTATAAATAAGTTGTTTTCTAAACGCACAATCCAAACAATAAACAACTTATCCAGAACATGGGCGAAATAGTCATTTTTTTGGATAAGCTGATTATCAACAGATTATCAGGATAAATTTCTTATCTGGATAAGTTGGATAAGCTACAACTGCCCTAAACAAAACCTAAATCATGTAAACAGTGATTTTTAAGGTCATAAAAGTATTTTTGAAGCTTGCATACCTTGTCGGTTGACTTGACTCTAAAGCCCACGATGAACATTCATAAAGACTTTTTTCAAGATCACCTTGAAACCAGAGAAGGAAGCCCAAACAGCAAAAGAAATACAAATATTATTATTGAAATTAAAATTGTTTACAATGAAAACTCTTCTACAGAAAATAAAAGATAACAAACAAAGAACGAGACAAGCAAAAAACTCGATAGTATATCAAAAGGGCGGTGGAGGTGGGCTCGGTGGATCTGGAAGCTTGGGACAACAAGGGTGAATGCAGAAGAGGAGTCAGCAGGGATTTGCAGGTAAATTGGATGAGGGAGGCAACAAGTTAGAGTGGCAGGAAGATCTGTTGAGCTGTTGGGAGGTAGATTGACAAGCTGGGAATATTAGACAGTGATCCCGACTTTCAATATAGATGTAAAATGCGATGTATGTGATTATACGTTTAATTTCCTTAATAGTTATTCTTAATTTGCAACAAACTCAAAAACTTGATCCAAAGCAAAAACTAAGTTTTTCACTATGAAACAAATAATAATAAAATTATAATATTTAAATATGGGATACTGCGCAAGTATACTTATCGTTATCAAGTAATATATGACTTTTTGATTAAGTCCCAAATATTGAACTCACAGGGACATTAACAATATGCACTTTAAGAAAATAAAAAGTTTAGATGACAAAGATCTACTTCACAATATATTCTTACTTAAACTTAAGAGGCTATAAGAGGAATGAAAATTCGATTTGTTTTGTAAATTTTTCTTTATGAAAATAAAATAAACTAATTAACTTAACTAAATATTTGCAAGATGAAGGCTATATAAATAAAATATCTTCTTTCTTATCATTAATCAATAATAATTATAAAAATTTTGTTGTGGAAGTATGTTAAATGTGTATGTCAAATAGAAGCAATAGTATTCTTTATTCTTACTAGGGATGCTATAAAGAACATTGATTAATTTAAAGTTTGAATAGTCTTGAAGACGGGCTAGGTAGGGAAGATACTAGCTCTCACTCTAGAATTCCCTCGCTGAGAGCTAATATCTCGTATCAAAACCTAAAACTATAAATCAAATTGGAAACTTTAGTCTGTCACTCTAAAGTCATCTAATTCTACACACTTGAAAAATCTATTTCCTTATTTATTTGCACTCAACCCCATGAACTACATTCTCATTCATGAAATCAATATGTGATTCTAACCATTTGTTTACTGAGACAATACGATCTCGGATCTTACATGTTCTCACATTAAATACTAACATCTTAATTGGCCAAATCAAGAAGTAAATGAAGTGCAATATTTCAAATCAGCACAACTTTATTTCAAATCATCACAAATATTTCAAATCAGCACAACTTTTTCCAACATTGAAGTCTAATACTTCACACAATATCCTTTAAGCACTTAATCATTTATCATTTTAAGAAAAAAGATAAAGAAACCTACTCAGAATCCATGGAGAAAACACAACCACATATGAGTTTAAAAGTAGAAATCATGCACACAAAAAAGAAATCTAGATTAAAATCAAGTGAAGTCACAAAGATAAACACTTATCTCAAATCAACTCCAAATGTCTTGAAGTTCCTTTGAATTATCTTCCTTAACTCACAATACAAACTAACACTCAAAATAAAAAGAAAGTAGCTGACGGCGGCGGCAGCGACGGTTACTTGGATGGATGATGGCTGCAAAATCTGATGGATGGTTGGCCCCTGGTGGTTGGCTTTGATGATCCAAGTTTTCTTTAATAAAATCTAAAAGTTGTATTGGTCCCTTCAAAATGTGTCTTCATTCAATGAATCTTCTAGAAATTGTCTTCTCAAAAGCCAATTGAATGAATTTTCGTGTCCATGGGATATTTCCCACAATTTTACCAAAAGTTGTTTCAAACACCTCAAAAATTCATCTAAATTCAATGAATCATCAAATAACTACTTCTAGCGCTTAAGTGTGGAGTACCTGGAGCTTAGGCATGAGACTCTAGCGCTTAGGCGTAAGTCCTGAGCGCTTAAGAGCCCCAGTTCATTTTTTGCATATTTCTTCATTTTTGCTTCAAATTTTACCCTTTTCACTCATTTTAGCATTTTTCATCTATTTGATTGTACCTGAGAGAAAAACACATACCTTTCATCAAAGCGCAATAGCTTAAAAATATGTATAAAAATGTGTATAAAAATACTATATATTTTAGGTATATCAGACAACAACTAGGAAAATTCATCGGCACTTTAGAGGATGGACAGCGAGCGGGGAAGCGCAACCAACAATGGGAAAGGACGTGGGAGTGTGGCTGGTGAGGGAAAACAACGGTCGGGGGAGCTGGTAGCAAGCCAATGGCTAAGAGTAGGAGAGGATAAGGATTGGGGAAGGTGAAAGGGAAGGATACAACACCACCTTGGAGTAGGATACAGCCGGAGCACCACTACCTCCTCAGACACAGCCTTAGACTGGGGAACACAGTTCCCCAAAGGAAATTTGAAAAAAGACTACACACCACATAACCCAAATCCTCACAAACAAGTATCTAAATAGACTTCAACAGGAAAGATAGAAAAGGAAGAAGGAGAAGGGGCTGGCGGAATTGCTGCTTGCTCGATTTGGGCTGGATGTACAAAAGAAAGGGAATTTTGGCAGTGAAGCCCTCCCAAATGCCGCTTAATCGTGCGAGACCCTCACCCCAGGCCGAGCGGCCTGGGTTCTCCTTGGAACGGTCTTTAAACAGACCGGACAGCTCGGTTTGTGGCCATCACCCACACGAGAGAGCCCCGCACCCACGTCACACCATCCACAAACAATTTTAAAATCAAGTTGATGTAGCTAGAGGCAATCAAGGTTTGTTAAAATGGAAATAGTACACAACGTGGTTAAGTTTAGTAAATGGGGAAAATATCTCCTCATAAACTATCCAGTGAACTGGGTGAAACCCTTGACCACCAACTATGCTCTACATCGGTTCAAGCTTTCAAGGATGTTGAGCTCAATAGAGAAAATTCACTTACATACGCTGGTCTCTTCCTTTTGGAATACAATTTATTTTTTAAGTATAATTCTTTTAATATATTCTATTACTTCCATCACAGCGCCCTTAAGAATTGTCAAAGTGCTTTCTATATATTGTTTGGAGTTTAAAACTCCATTAATGGCAGCTAATATATCATGCAATATACAGCCAATAATAAGATGTTTGGTAAAAGGTACAAAACCTTTCCTAAAGACCATAAATAGATCAAAGTCATGTCATTTCAGATTATGCGCTTCCTCTACTGTCGACCATGAGAAGGGGCAAACAGAACAGAGCAAGAGAAATTACAAGAAAAAATTTAAAAGATCTAAAAGAGTTACTCTGATACCATCAAGTAATAAGTGGAATATTTTCTTAACTCAATTCTTCAAGAATTATAGAGTACAAAATATGTATGAATAAAGTACATAATATATGGTTTTCCCATGAATAGCAAAAATACTTTATTGAACAAAAACAACGCGAAATAAAAACAATAAGGCAGAATTTGAATATTTGAATTCGGAACTGCAGGTGGGTGAAGCAATCATTGAAGCTTTCTGCACAGGAGAACATGAATGAACAACAAATTCCACTCCAAGATCCACAAAAATCAGCAACAGCCAGTTACTTCTTAATGCTGTTTATTGTGCTGAAGCGTAATTTGATATTATTTATCCAGTTATTGCTAACAAATATTTAAAAAGTCTGAAATTTGGATCTTTCCCTCATACATATTGAGCTTAAAGTTTAAATTTCCAGTTTTTAGAAATAATGCAGATTAGCACCATTGAGTCATTCATGTGATCCTCAAAGTAGATACCTATTATACAATTATTTTCAATTTTAACTTCACTTTACAGCATCCCTAATTAATTTTTAAAATTTCATTCACTATATTTGTTGAAAATCATTACCTGATGTAGTTGAGAAATGGTCATGATACAAACATATTGCATGTAAGAAAAATACAAGTTATCAGCATTTTCGTTAGCAAAATTTATAATTTGCTTTGCAAATGGACTCTTGAGGCAAAAACAACACTTAATATAACACATTGTATTTTTCAATTTGAAAGACTTGGTTGTAACATTCTAATGACAATCATGCCAAACTAGTTACATCATACCATACATGCATTATATAAAACATCAGTATATGAACAATATAAAACTAGAAATCATTACCTGCCCAGTGTCAAAAAGGTTACAGACATATATGCCAAAGTCCCGTTGAAGCCAAATTATATCACGATCAGCCCCATGCATGACCTGACTATGAGAAAATTGTTGGTAAGAAATGACAGAAAAATCATAAAATATCATTAGTTTAACTCATTGCACCTTTCTCTTCAATGGATCTTTAAAGACTTCTCTCAGGTATGGGCCAACATGAACCCGCAGTTTAAGTGTGTCCACTATGAAATCCTCTGTTCTAGTAGAAATTTGCATCAAACAAGTCAGTCCAAGAAATGATCGATACTGATTGTGCTCCAAATCAACCTTCATTTAAATTTTGATGAAAAAAAAAAGGTTAGATGTTAGAATCATTCAAGAAATCCTCACTCTTTTTATGAGTGCATTGACCTCGTTTCAAATAGCACAAAATAGAACTTAGAAAAGCAAATAATTTAAAGTAAGAAGCTCAAGTCCCAAGACAACCAATATAAGATGGCCAAGCTATCCCTAATGACTCATTGAGCATTCAAGAATTAACCAAAAAACTCTCTTGGATTAAAAAAAAGTAACAGTTCAAGTTTCACACTACGCACATTGCTTCAAGGCTTCCTAACACGAGAGCATCTCCAGCTTACGAGCACGACGAGGGAGGAAGAGTCTCCGGCTTCTGACGTGGGCACGAGAAAGGACTTTCCCCGATTCCAGCGTCTGGTTCGTGATTCCAATGCATGAACCGACCAGTCCAAGCAAGGGAAGAGTCGATCGGCTACTCCTCTTAGGTTTGGCACATCCTTTCAACAGTGAATCCAATCCTAATTATCTAGAGTATATATATTTATTTCTTCCGTTTTGGGTTTGCAGCTTTTCGGTGAGTTTTCTGTTGGGACAGCCGTTGAGGTCGCTTTTTCTCTTCTAGAGTTGTATTCAAGGGTCGAGTAGTACTCCGAATCTATCTCGCTCCCGAGGTGATAACTATCCACTTCAAACTTTCCCCCACATCCTTCCTTTCGCTACCACTATCATCTTTACTTAATGCAGCGGCTCCGCACAGCATATCTTGTTGAATTTCTGCAATTCAACCCGCCACCATCGCCTTCCGCTCCTTCCACTTCCCTGTCCCAACAGTTCAAGCTCACTAATATCGATATCGTCGCTGTCCTACCATCCCGTACCGCTACCTCCACCCAGATGCCCTACGTCATGATGTTTTCTTGCAGCCATCTTCCCTTACTGCATTGTTGTCGCCCAAACCACCACCTTCTAGCCTTGCTCCTGCTATTCTAGCCCTCATTCCTTAGCGCGCTGCCCAAGAAAGCTAGGGAACACCTCCTGTTGTTCCACCGCAACTCGCTACCACCATCCAGGACAGTAACAATATTTGTTGTCCCTACATTTTCTCACCTCCCCTTTGCTCCTACCAAAATTGATTTACTATTGCCACACCCATTTTAAACGGAGTTGACCAAAATCATATTTGGAAAAGAAAATATTATCACTGAAAGTAAATGGGTGGTTACAATCAAACACACTTGAAAGGAAAAATACAGCACATATGACACACAAACTCAAGTTTGGATGGATCTAGGGTGAAGGTGGTGACGATTAGAGATCTTGGTGGGATAGAGGCAAGGTAGGGAAGGGGTTTCCGGGCTATGGGTGAGGAACAGCAGGAGAGCATATGGCTGCAGCCAAAACATCGGCAGTTGGTTTTTTGGGGCGTTGGACAGTAGGAAAACTGTAGGGGGAGGTGTTGAGGCAATGACAACAAGCTGGGATGAGAGAAACAACTGGTTGGGTGGTTAGAACAACAAAGCCATGACTAATATTTTCAGATGGCAACAACAAGAGGGAGTGGCGGTGGCAGCGACAGTAAAGGTGTGAGACTGTGGGACAGATAAAGGAAGACTGTCCGGGGACTGCGACGGCGAGATGAATAGCTGGAGAGCAAGGAACTGCAAGAAGGCAAAAAAGGGACTGTTGTTGGCACGGCTGCAGCGAGGGAGGCATGGTAGCATGGTGAGAGGGATGCGGGAAGGGGTGGGGAAGATTATCACCACCTGGAAACCAAGACACAACTGAAGCACCACTTGGAACCTTAGGAAACAACACTTGAAACGAAAAAGAGACATCGTTGACTTCCCCAATACAAGACAAAAAACTAAACTAAAACACAAGTAATAACATATAAATAGCCTTAGAGTAAAGAGGAGTAGAACTTGTTCTAAATAGGAAGGAGTCGTGCACTGAGGGGGTCTACCTGATAATGATTCCATCTGAAATGACTCAAGTCCGTGCGACAATTGATGCACCAGCGCAATCTAGGGGCTTCCGCGCTGTCTGGGTGCTCTAGTACCACTTCCTGCTCCCGCATCCTCATCTCTCGCTCCTGTGTCAATCTCCCTATGTTGAGGGAGCTTCGACCTCATCTGTCGAAGCTTTTAGCTCATCATTGTATGATGTTAAGTAAAACAATTTGACGGAAGCATAACGGTTGCAATCTCTTAGTAAGTCAATTATATAAACCTTGTCATTCCGAAGCAAATTTTGGTAGAATAGGTGTCCCTCCACTTTTGATACAACATGAGCTAAAACTGCATATAAATGTAGGTTCCTACAATGCAATTATTGAGCCTTAAGTCTGAAACATTCTTCTTCCACTTCTCGTACTCAACGGAATGTAGCAGATAAACCAATATGTGAGAAGAAATCAACTCTGAGGTGAAATTTTGTGGTTGGCTGCGAAATGCTCACTAGCAACTGCGCAAGAGAGACATCTTCTCTACTCGTAGAACCTGGATCCCATTGAAGAACTATTTTCCCCCATCAAGCTCCAAAGAAAAATTTAAAGGTTGGGTTTCATCCCTCTTGTTTGGGCATCTGATCATGAATATCACGCTAAATTGAATCTAACATATAAATAACTCCATGTAATCTTCCAGACATATCACAAAAGGGCCCCAATTCTGCGTGTTGGACCTCAATCAGTATAGACAACTCAAGAATGAGTCTATAAATCTGAATCGTTTGAATTTCTCTTATTTGGAGACGTCATGCCTCTGGTGTTAGGTCCTCGAACTCAAGACTACCTTGGACAGTCACCGTGAAGTTAGTTGGAGTCCCTCCCAAAGGGCTCAGCTAGAACTATATGCATGTTTTCCTCCTCAACTGGAACCCGGTCCTCCTCCTTTGTGTCATCATTGTCTTCAGTGTCTACTGTATCATTGTCCAATTTTTCAAAATTGCCCCTACTCAATGAAACAGATCGCCCCTCTGGTAGTGCAATCTGATTCAAAATATCCAAATTCGTGGTACTTGCAACACTTCTTAGCTGTGAAAGATATATGGATGTGGATTGGTTCCACATGTTCTCCACTTTGAATCAGCTCATCCTCTGATGTGGTCTTCTTGGGTGTTCTCCTGTGTGTACTATGGCGGTAAGATTCTGAGGTTAAACTCTTCATAAAAGATGGGATGGTCGATCGATGATGTGGTCTCTCCACTTCTGAAGCTAGGAACTTAACATTCTATTTATAGCAAACCGGTAGGAACTGTCGTATCTCCTGCTTCATCTTCAGATTATCACGTTCTGCCCTTCGACCCTCCAAATCACGATCAAATGTAATCTCCCACTGGATTTCATTCTCAATGTTCGCATGCCTCCGTTGAAGTCGGTGAATCTCTCGTTGTATCCCTTCCCGAATATGCTCGGGCATATATCTCCTTGGTGAAATGGCTATGGTGTGGACTGAGAAGTAAAAGAGGCAATAAAAATTGATTTAGATTGTTGAATTTGAAAATCAACAAGAAAAATTAGGGTTAGGTCAAAGTTTTAGCTATGGTTTGGGGGATGCGGAAGAAATATTTTGGTGGAGCTGCAAGACGAATGCTAAATAAATCTAGGATAAAACTAGATTTAGGCCATCTCTGATACCAAATAATATCGGAGTTAACCCAAAACACATTACGAAAAATAAATATTATTATTGAAAGCAAATAACTAGTAACAATCAAACACACTTGAAAGGAAAAATACAAGACACGTCACGCAAACTCAAGTTAGGGTAGATCCTGGGTGAAGTTAGTGCGTTTAGAGAAACTGGTGGGGTAAAGACAAGGTAGGAAAGGGGCTTCAGGGAAGTGGATGAGGAGCAGCAACCATTATGGGTGGTTGGAACAAAAGGACAACAAGGGATGGTAGCCCAAATAGCAGCAATTGGTTGTTTGGGGAGGTTGGAGAGTAGGAAAACAACGACGAAGAGGCGTTGAGGAAATGAAACCAAGCTGGAATGAGAGAAATAGTTGGTTGCATGGTTGGAACAGTAGAAAGAAGCCCTAATAGCTCTGAGCGGCGACAGCGAGTGGGAATGATGACAGTGGAGGTAGGTGTGGAATTGTGGAACAACAAAAGAAGGGCAATCCAAAGGCTACGCAGCGAGAAGGATGGTTGGACGATGAGAAACTATACGAAGACAGTAACGGGATTAATGTTGGGGCAACTGCAACGATGAGGGAGGCATAAGAGCGATATGCGAGGGATGCAAGGAAGGACAGGAATGATAATCACCACCTGAAAACTAAGATACAGCCGAAGCACCAATTAGAACCCTAGGATATAGCCCTCAAAGAAAAAAAGGGACGCTGATGACTGTCCCGATACAAAACACACAAAAAATGACCCAAAACACAAGAAATAACATATAAATAGTCTTAGGGTAAAGAGAAGTGGGTCCCACTACAGATAGGAGGGGACCGTGCGCTAAGGAGGTCCGCTCAATACCGATTTTGCTCGGAATGACTCGAGCCCATGAGGCAATTGTCGCACCCACGTGGGTCTGGTAGCACTAACATCATGTGCTGCTCCCGCGTCCCCATCTCCTACTTCGGCGTTGTCGTCAATCATTCTACTCCACATAATTGATCGTCACCACCCTTGGGATAGTGGAGTTTGCTTGTGTCAGTTATATTTCCCTTCCAAGTGTGTTTGGTTGCAATCACCTAAGGTCTGCTTGGGGCAGCTACAACTATTTGAAGAAGCAGTTGTGAAACTAAGAAGCAACTTTTCAAAAGGCTGCGGTGATAATTACAAATTTATTTCATTTTCAAAAAGTTACACCATCTTTCTGACAGTCACCATACTTTAGCAGCTCAAGTTGAAAAAAACAGTTTTCTACCACACAAATTTTTAAAAGCAGCAAAAAAACAGATCCCCAAACAGAACTGTGTTCGCAGTCTGAAAAGTAAAGCAGACAAAACCGTTGTCCCAAACAGAACCCTATTTGCTTTTCAATAATAGCATTTGTTTTCCTATTATTGTCCAGGTTAACTCTAGTATTATTTGGTATCAGAGCTAATCTAACCCTATTTTTATCCTAGGGTTTCTAATATACACAATATCAAACCGGCCATCCACAAATATTATTTCCCACCCAACATTATCCTTACACAACCTCTTATAGCCTACCGAAATCCAAACCCCAACCACGCCACCGAAGAGACAATTATTGGAGACCTTATACGAAGGATGTCATAATGTCGTTTAAGAGAAATTTGCAAAGACATTTTCAGAAACTTTTTATGGAAGCCCTCCAACTAGAACAAAGGTTTGTAACCTTCAAGGAGAGACATTCCGAACAAGTCATCTGTAGTCACAATAGTGACTTACTAGATCGAAGGAGCGGAGTGAATCCCTTCCACCATGCATATTCCAGAGATAAGGAACCTCTATCCCGAAGATTTGGTCTAAATATCAAAGAAAGCTGAAATTTGGAAGTAAAACTAGATTTGTCATATTTTGACGGCTACTAGAATTTAAATGAGTTCATCGAGTGACTCTAGAACGTGAAACTTTTCTTTGAGTATCAGGACATCTCACCAGACAACAGGGCAAAGCTAGCCACTAGCAAGTTAAAGAAGAATGTATTATTTTCATTGAAAAACTTGAAATAACTACGTCAGTGTGACAGAAAATATAAGATCACTACCTGACCTAATATAAAACAGGAAATGCAATGCCATTACGTACTAGTTTACAATCGACTGGATATTCTTATCCTAGCTTCAAAAGTGGAGAGAAAACATCATCGGATGATTCTTACACCTTACATGCATAGTTCAACCCAAGATCGAACAATAAGAATATGCCTAAGAGAACACCCAAGCCTCCAACCGAGGAGAAACTTATTCAGAGTGAATAACATATGAACCCAACAAATTGTCCCTGGAAGAAAGTATATCAAGTGTTGTCCAAACAAATGTAAAATTTATTTCACAGAGCAAAGAACTGCTGAAGAAATGGGAGTGCCAGATTTCACTAGATGAAGGAGAAAAGCAAGTAGTTCAAGCTAAGCACATGAGAGAGGCTCCAATAAAATTAGCATGGGTGGGCCAAGACGGTCCTAAGTCCAACGAATTAATACTAGACACATAGCAACTCCATATAAGAGAATTCAGGCTGCATATATATTACTTCCTTAGTTGCACCTACTAAGGAAGGTTCAACATGTTAGAAATGTAACTCTTTTGTGTCACTTTTTTAAGACTATATGGAGTTATTTGGACAATAAAGTCAATTCAACAGTATAACCACCGACCGATGATCTGTCAGGATGGATGAACCACAATGTTGGAAATCGTCTTAGAATCCTTTGGGGAAAGAATATTTTATAATGGGATCTAGGTCCTACCAGAGAAGAAGAGGCTTGCTGTTGAGAGTTGCCCAGTTTGTCATAGATTTTGTCTCAAAATTGATTTCGCATTATGTGTTTGCTTATCAGATAAATGTGAACGAGTACAAGGAGTGGAAAAAGCAAATTAAATATTTCATGGCCCAAGGTTTGGTTCGTGAGAATATCCATCGACATGGAGTTTCAGGTTTGGTTGTGCTAAAGGAGGACAAATATGTATTCTATCAATAAGTGTTTTGGAATGACGACACCTATATAATGGACTTACCGAGAGATTACTATATTTCTACCACTTTCAACGTGACCAACCTAATGCCAAACTACGAGGAGACAGAAACTTCGACAGATGAGGTGGAAACTCCTCAACCACGAGAGACTGACGCAGAAGCGTCTCCCGCCCATAAACGGGGTGTGAAAGTGTCTCTCGCATTTGACGTGAAGTGCTTGCACGGGGACTATATCTGACTCCAACGCGTAGACCAACCGGTCCAAGAAATGGGAGAGTCGATCGACTACTCTTAGGTTTGGATAGTAAAATCAGTTCAGCAGCGTACCCACCAACAGATGATTAAACAAGATGGATGAACCACAACGTTGGGTGATTTGAGAGTTGTTCAACTGTCATAGATTTCATCCTAGATTTGATTTCTTCTTACGCACTTGTTTAACATATACACGCGGAAGAGTACAATGAGTGAAAGAAACCAATTACAGAATTGGTAGCTCGAGGCTTGGTTCATGAGTGGTTGGTATTGAGAGTTGCTCGGTCTATCATAGATTTCATCCTAAAGTTGATTTCTCCTTACGTGTTTGTTTACCAGATACACACTGAATAGTACAAGGAGTAGAAGAAATCAATTATAGAATTGGTGGCTCGACGCTTGGTTTGTGAGGATACCCATCCACATGTAATTTCAGTTCTGGTTGTACCAAAAGAGGGCAAATATTTATTTTATCAAGTTGTTCTTTGGAATGACAACGCCTGCATAATTGACTTACTGGGAGATTGCTACATTTCTACCATTTTCGATGAGATTGAACTGATGTGATACTACGAGGAGACAGCAACTTCGACGCATGAGCTTAAAGCTCCCCCAACCTCGACAGACTGAGGGAAAATCTCTCGCTTACAAGCAGGACGCACACGCAAGGACTTTCCACACTTCTAGCTCCTGGACAGATCGATCCAGGCAAGGGGAGTGTCGATCAGCTACTCTTAGGTTTGTCGCCTCCTTTCAATAGTGAGCCCAATCCTAATTATCTATGGCCTATAAATTTGATTCTTGTGTTTTAATTTTGCATTTTTTTTTTTGTGAGTTTTTTTTTGGGGCAACTGTTAACATCTTTTTTCTAGGGTTGTATCCAAGGTTCAAATAGTGCTTCGGTTGTATCTTGCTCTCGGAATGGTGGATATCCCCTTCTACCTTTTCCCGCATCCATTCGCTACCGCCATCATATTTCCCTACTTGCCCTACAGCAGACACCCCACACATCATATCTTGTTGAATTTTTGTAGTTTCAGCCATCACAATCGCCTTCCCCTTCCTACACTTTACTGTTCCAGTAGTTCCAACCGATCAACGTCGTTGTTGTCACTGTCCAACCGTCCTGTACTGTTGTCGCACCCCAAAATCCACTTACGCCATGTTGTTTTCTTACAGCCACCAAGTTCCCAACCACCTCTCCTTCCCTTCCTACATTGTTGCCTCCCGAGCCACTCCCTTCCAGCCTTGTTCATGTTTTTACATCCCTCTCACCTTGTTGCCGATGCCCATGACAACAAGGGAGCACCGCCTTCTTGTTGTTTCACTGCTAACCGCTTCAACTCCTCGCTGTCACCATCCAGGACACTAACCACACCAGATGTCCCAGCATTTTTGCATCACCCCCTCGCTGCTACTAGCATTCATTTTCTACCGCCACACCTGCCAGCCATTCTGATCCACCTAAATGAGCTCCACCGTCATCGTGATATACTTTAGTTTTGTTTGATCGTGTTTGTTGTTGTATTTACCTTTCTAGTATGTTTGGTAGTAATCACCTATTTGCTTTTTAGTAATGACGTCTGCTTTTCTATTGTTCTTTTGGGTTAACTCTAGTATCACTTCCAGTAGGAATTGTTGCTAATACTTCTTAGGAAGATTTACAAACATACCACTCAATTTTTATGTATTTACATAACTAACACCCAAACTTCAATTTTTACATACATACCGCCTTACCAGCTTGCCGCAAATCTATAGATAGGACAGCTTTAAGAAAAACGGAATCGCCCTTGTGGATAGTTGTTCACCATCAACCATGAGCTTTCATCAAATAAGTAAATCAGGAAACAGAATTAGATCAAGCTTAAAAGAAAAACAAAACTCCAATAGCCAAACCTCACAAACACTAGGTCCATAGAACATGAGACAGAAGTAATGTTTTATGATCCTGATAAAACAAAAAATGACTGGAAGCAGATGAAAATGTAATAATTCTTGAAATAGGTGCAATAGAGGCTTACCGCAAATTCATTTGCCACACGTAATTTAGCAGCCAGTTCCTTCAACTCCTTCACTCCCTCAATAAGTTTAAATGGAGTGCTTTCTAGAGAAAGTGGCTTTGTTATTTCATCTGAACCAATATCTTTATCAATAAAATCAAGCACAGAGAGCTTCTCCTGTTAACAAAATTATCTCATTACAAAAGAAGCACAATTCTCATAACAGAATGGCTGCTAAAAAATAAAATTTTGAAAGAAAACAATAAATCACATTTTATTTTAATTTTGGAAAACAAAAAGTAACTCTCAAATTAAAGACCTGACAAAACAAATGAAGAGTTTAACTCATGAAATAATCTAGTGAGAAAACTAAAAAAACAATAGTTTTGAACCCTATAAAATTAACAGCCAAACCACAATTCATGAACAGAGAAAGCAATTACTATCAGTTACAAAAGAATGAAACAATCAGCTAAAATTTAAAATTTATCCGATGGCCAACAACTTTCAAATCTCATACTATTTTTATCCCATCCTTATTTATTTTCTTATTCTCCAAACTTAATATAGAAAAAAATTCCGACTGGCCAAAGTGCTACATCAGCACCTTATGAGAAAAAAAAATTAAGGAAAAAGAAAACAAAACTGTGAAAAACAAGAAAACAAGAGCATGATAACAGAGGCAAACCTTACCAAGGGATGCATAAACCGGCTGTCGTCCTCGCTCCTCTCCAACCAAACATGTTCGAACGGAGTATTATTGTTGTTCACTAATATTTTAAACTCCAACTGCGGTTTTGGAATATTCGGCAAGTGAAATGGCACTTTGGCTCTCGCAGCCGTTGTCTTCTTGTCCCTGGAAACCATCTTGATCTCCGAAGAAGCAGAGAACCCCAGCTCCCCTTCCTGTTTCTGCACAACCTCCCTTTTTTTCTTCCTCCCACAAACCAGCTGAAACCCATCTCCCGAATCCACCGCCCCAACCTTCCGCTCCTGTTTCTCCCTCAAACTCCTGAAATCATCCATAGCGACCCCAAACCTCTCAAGAAAATCATCGTTCAGGTTCACAAGCCATTCATAAGCTTCATCCAGCTCGTTGGGAATAGGCGGCGATTTCCTATCACCCCATAAAGACAACGAAGAAGCAATAACCCCAAGCGAAGACTCGGCCGTGGAAGCGATACCCCTCGCCGGGAGCTTGAACTCGTCGAAGTTATTATAGAAATGGAAATCCTTCCCGTAAGGAATGTTGCGTGAACGACTGAGGAGTCTGGAGGCCGAGGAGGATAAGGGCCCAGAAATGAGAGATGCGAGAGCTTCTGCCTTCTGCTCGACTGACTCTGAACTCGGTATTTCGGTTTCCATTAAGATAGGATCGATGGAAGAAGCTTTCTCGGGGGGAAATGTCGGGAGTATGTTAGGGTTTTTATTCTGACTTCATTTTTAGCTGCAGAAGGCGTGTCCAATGAGTATAGAGGATGTTAGGTCTTCCATTTTTCAGTAATTTATTGTATAAAGTTGTGGCTCCTTGAAGTAAATATTAGGGTTTGATTAAGAAAATATAGATATTTTTAGCATTATTATTTATAACAGTTTAAATATAAAATATTACAATTATCTTACTATTTTAAAATTATAAATCTCATATCTAATATTAGTAAATTATTTATAGAAAATAAATCTGATAAATTCGAATTTATCAAATCTACATGCTGCTAAATCCAGAATAATGTTACAATTAAATTGATTCGACATGTTTAGTATATTATTTTATAAGAATTTAAACATGAAAATAAAAATCTAGAATCTGTCACGGGTTTTAAAGAACTCTTTATCCACTCGCTCGATAATCAATTGGAATTGGAAAAAAGACTACATACACCTAAATTTATATACGTCCACGGTAAATGTGCACGAAAAGAAAGAACAGAAAAACAAAAACTTACGTGCATCTACATCGTTCTCCTTCGTATATACACAGAACAAATGTAATATATGCACATTTTTTACCCATCTTGACTATGTCTCTAATGTCTTTCTATTACATTGGAGAAGTCCACTAAAGTTAACAAACTTTGATGGAAGATAACAGAGAGTGATAAAAAAAATATATGTAAATAAAAAAAGGTTAATAAGTAATTATGATAAAATTATGTGTTATATATGTAAGTCCCCGCAATTTTAATGCTATTATTTACAATTTATGTATATTAATAAACTCCTATTATTTGTTGCTTTGAAAGGTACAACTTTCATTTGTGCCCTTATTCAGATGAGTTCATGAAATCGCTCATGTTTTATTTATCATTTTTCATTTCAGAAACCAAGTAAATTTTATAAATATAGGCTCTATTTGGGGCAGCTTGTAAGTGCGGCGGCATTTTTGAAAACTTCGTCTAACCATTTGGTTTGCAGTTTTTTGAAAACGCTGGCTGCGGCGTTCAGATTTTTTACACTAAACGCAGGTCGCTAGTCGACTTGCAAGCCGCTTTTCAAGATAAGTTGTTTATCCTGAAATGCACAAGCTTCCCCAAACATACCCATAGACTCAATAAAATTCATAGAAATAAAATATTAAATCATTTGGCATGATAAAATTATTTGAACTTATTTAAATTTGATAAATTATTTTCTTATTTATCTTACCATTAAAATTATTTAGAGAGAGAAAACTTTAAGTTCACTCAATCTATCAATAATAAATAATGAAATATGAATTCAATGAATAATGACATTGAAATTAAATTTTATAATTTATAGGGTTCAAAATTTATAAATTCTATTTGGTATAATTTAAGTTGAATTTAGCTTAGATTATGCTTGAAATAAAAATACCAATTTATGTAAAATATAATGGACTGAATTGACTCAATTAATGTTATAGAATTTTACTTGACTTTAGATAAATTAGATTAGGCCAAATCAGATCCATTGGTATTATTTATTATGAAAATTTTCTTACATTAAAAAATAATCAAAACTATTATCTTACTAATCTTTCTTTTGGGAGAGAAAATTAAGTATGGTAGATAGAACGTGCTGATCGCGGCATGAATCACACCACGCTGAATGATCCATAACGTGGTTCACACGTCATTCATCGGACTACCCCTTTTCTTCTATTCTCTCTCTCTCTCTCTCTCTCTCTCTCTCTCTCTCTCTCTCTCTCTCTCTCTCTCTCTCTCTCTCTCTCTCTCTCTCTCTCTCTCTCTCTCTCTCTCTCTCTCTCTCT